GGGAAATGTGCAGTCAGGCCTTTGGGGCCCTGTGACACTCAAGACGGAAAGGCAGCACACGAAATGTTAGGCCTTATAATACAGGGCATAAGATGGGACAGGAATAAAGTATGTTCCTCTTTCACGTCAGCAGCTTTGCGCTGTTTATAGCCTCCTAGCATGTGTGGGTCACCGTATGTATGTTTTCAATCCCATTCCAAAAGCCTTAAATTTAGTGTAAATTACCCCAAGAGTCTCACGATAGGTTGAGTCTCACGATGGGTCAATCCCAGGATTTAGGTGGAAATGTCATCTTAGGTATTTTAAACGGTATGTGGGGTAAGCTTTGTCAAAAACTGCTGTCCAGACGTTTTTAAACTGTTGAAATGCTAAGGAAAGTCATAAAATTAGTAGTTCTGTTAGCGCCAGTAGGGGGCTGTATTCGTGCAGTGGTGAGGGTAAGAAGTGAGGGTTCTGCTGAGCGATGATTCCCTTTACCTCTGTGTCTTCACCCTTTAGTCAATAACATACAAGAACTAGCTTAGATAAGTCTATAGTCTGTTTATCTCTAAAGTGACCATGATCATTTAAGATAAATAGAAACATTTTATTTAGTATCTATAAAGTCTAATGCTTGAGAGTAATTACAGACATACCTCGGAGACACTGCAGGTTCGTAAAACAAATAAAGCAATAACAAGTCACGTGAATTTTTTTGGTTTTGAGTGCATATAAAAGTTTTGTTTACACTGTACATTCCTTTCACTGTAGTCTATTAAGTGTGAAATAGCATTATGTCTAAAAAACAATGTACATACGGTAATTAAAAAATAATTCCTTTGGGAAAATGGCACTGATAGACTTGCTTGACAAGAGTGGCCACAAACCTTCAGTTTGTAAAATGTGAAGTATCTGTGAAGTGCAATAAAACGAGGTGTGCGTGTCTCCCTTACTAATCCATGAGCTCCTTTTCTTAAGCAACTTGGAATGCCCATTTCCTGGCACATAAAAATTTCTTAACAAATGATTTTCAAATGAACAAATAAATCTAGCTGAGCAAGAGATATTTGAGGAAACTGTGAGCAATGCCAAATATTTTGTGAGTGCTCTATTACGTCAACAGCCTAACACTCATTACTAACTAGCTGGTTATTCAATTAAAGTTCGTACCTGGGGCTCACTGTCAGCATTAACAAATAGCACTTTGTCATTCCTTGGACTATTTACGTGGCTATTTTCTTCTCATGTTGATAACCTGCCTGTCCACCCCAGCTAAAATCTAGAGAAGTCTAGTTAGTCCCATTCGAGACCTAAAGTCTTCACTTTGTCTCCTTTTGCAAGGATACTCCCGATTTCAATCAGGTACTAGAAATGTCAGATGAAAAATGGCACAAATGTGAATTATGACAATAAAAGTTTATAAGCTCCTAAAATAAAGTTATAGTACCTAAGAGCTGAGTCAACTGACAATGTTAAATGGAACATTTTACAACCAGTCCTGGGATAATGATAAAAAAAAAAAAAAAAAGGCACACAGAACATGAAGAAGTATCTAACAGGAAATGGGCCCAAGATCAAGCTGAGGCTACGTGATTTTATATGAGCATCTCTAAAGAGGGGAGAGGTGATAGCCTAATTCTTATGGGTGCCTCCTCTGTGCCTAACCCTTGACTTCTATTATCTCTTTTACTTCTCTTAACAGCTCAGTGAGAGAGGTACTGCTGTCATTTTAGAGAGGAGAAACCAAGGTTGAAGGGGTCCAGTTGAGCAAATGCCCAACAACAAAACTATTAAATAACAGAGACTTCAAAAGTCTCTCTGATTCCAAAGCCCATACTATTTCCATTGGGTATATCTTTTTACACCCAATGCTATCTCTTTACATAGACACAATAGCTCTATACATATAAAACAAATTTAAGCTTCATGAAGAATCTCTCTCTCCAACTTGATGCTAGTGTTTGTTCCATGTTATCAATTCTCGTGACGGTTCTCTTTACCACAAAGCTCACCATGTAAATTAGCTATACAGTCAATGTTAAATTATAGCTAAAGAAGGCCAAAATATGGCGCTAGAATGAGCTCAGCATTAGGAAGAAAGCTGAACATGAAAATGGTATTTAAGAAAGAATACTAGGGCTTCCCTGGTGGCGCAGTGGCTGAGAGTCCGCCTGCTGATGCAGGGGACACGGGTTCGTGCCCCGGTCCGGGAAGATCCCACATGCCGTGGAGCGGCTGGGCCCGTGAGCCATGGCCGCTGAGCCTGCGCGTCCGGAGCCTGTGCTCCACAAACGGGAGAGGCCACAACAGTGAGAACCTCGCAAATACCAAAAAAAAAAAAAAGAAAGAAAGAATACTGCTCTATATAAAATAGATAACTAATAATGATCTACCGTATAGCACAGGGAACTCTACTCGATACTCTGTAATGGCCTATATGGGAAAAGAATCTAAAAAAGAGTGGCTGTATGTATAACATTCACTTTGCTGTACACTTGAAACTAATGCAACATTGTAAATCAACTATACCCCAATAAAATTTTTTTTAAAAGAAATAAAGAAACAATAGAGGAGTGTTATCAGGAGTCTGAACAGGTGGTACGGCACTCTTTCGTTTTATTTTTAAAATAATTCCGCTCACAAAATATCCTGTTATTCGTAAATTTCCACTGCCTTTAGCTTTCCTAGTACGACATCCTCCTGTCACCCCACATGCACATAATGCCAAGTCACAGTGTTTCTCATGCGTGCCCACCCCGGCATCCCCAGTGACAGAGACGCAAGCACACCGGCATGCCCGGGGGATCTAGCGCCATCTCCTGATAGGCTGGTATTCGCTGTAATTGCACAATTTCTTGGAAATATTATGTTTTACCTTTAAAGATCTTACAAAATTGATATTCTTCTCCCTCAGCTGACTTTGTTATAGAATAAAGATAGACTTTCCAATTACTTGTTATGGACCAAAATGCATGCTCCGGGAAGAATTAATGCCATGTTAATTCTGAGGCTTTGCATACTCTGTGCAAACTCCTTTTACTCTAGCCAGAGAAACACAGTGATAAAATGGTATAATCGCATGACATGCAAAGTGCTTATGTGAAATGAAAAGGACAAAAATATGAGTGGGATATTAATTCAAGAGAAATAAGGAAACAGGACTGTTTGAATAGGCTTAGCAGGATGGCTTAGTTCTCCCTGACAATAAGTGTGATGCTATCTCACCATACCTTGACCTCTCTACCCTGACTCCCCCATTCAAGTACAATCAAATGTTTAGTTTCTGTACACACACACACACACACACACACACACACACACACTAAGAGGGTTACACAATACCCGACAGACAGACATAGAGGGAAACATTCAGGGAAATTTCTCCTAAATATCAGATAAAGGCAGCATGTCAATATAGCAATAACACCATACATTTCTATTGTAACAGAACACAAGTTAATAAAATGGGGAAGTAGAACTTACAAAATAGCTTTAAACTCAGTACCAGATTTCATTATAGGTCCTAGACTATAGTGGACACAAGCTAATTTTCATGGTTGTCCATAATAATAGTCATTGGGAAGTTAAATGACAGAAGAGAAGCAGCTTTAAATGGGAAATGGCACAATTATTCACATGCTTATGCATTTGCTGACTATCAACCTTGAACAGAGCATTTAATTCAAACCCCATTTAAAAGTATACACTGTCAAGGGAGAGGCCAAGAACCATATTCTAGTTCAGGAAGCAACCCATAACCCATGTGCGAAAGATGACACTGAAGATCAAGTCTACTGGGACGTAGACGGATTGCTCACAACCCAATGTAGGAGCTGCTCCTGTAAAAAAGCAAGGAAATGCCAAGAACCTTGGCATCTGACTGTTCACAGATGATCCATTCCTGCTCTCATAATGCATAACATTTTGAGGGGAAATATTCTGCCCATTCAGAACAGCAATTGAATTTAAGTTCTCTCTCTGAAGATAGATTTCACCTTTTAATCAATCTTTTAAACTTCTGTAATGCTATATATGTGTGATATATTTGTTAATACTAAGATTCCATTCCTGTTTTTAAAGTATTGCATAAAAATAAGTGCTGCATGTATAATATATATGATATAATACATCATATTTCATATAATGTATTTGATAATATCTCAAAACCAACTGAAGAAAAATTGAATGTGTGTGTAAGACATAGAGATAATATGGATATAGATACATAGGTGTAGATATGAAAAGAGAGTTCTAGCAAAGATCAAAGCAAACATCACAACTTAGGAGCAAAGTAAAAGAAATTACCTGAATCCTAATTAGTTTCATATATACTCAGTTGGACATCAAAAGGAAGTGAGGATTCCTTACTTAGGGGTATTAAACTGAAGGAATTACTCATCAGGTTAAAAGAAAATCTTCACATCAACCAGAGACTGCAAGTATTTGACCGATAGGGTCTGTGATATTATAACAAGGTAACACTGGATTATCTTATCTAAGTTGTCAAAATAAAGTAATATCTGACATCTACATATATTATCTCACTAGCCTTACAATTAGCACATGCAACCAGCTATCTGGTGATGGTAAATATTTTTCATACATTCAATGTATATTTACCAAACAATCCCTATGGGGGTGCCAAGCACTGTTCTAGATATTAGACATATAAGGATGAAAAAGACAAATGTGGTTCCTGCAAATTAATAGCATAATCAGGGTTACCTGATTATACCATAATCAGGGTTACCCAGTTACCCAGAAGAATCCAGCTCTTCTGACACCTATATGGTGTTATGCAAATCAAGTTTTTTTGACCTTCAAAACATTTGGCCTGCCTTGCTTATTATTTTACTGTTAATTACAGAATTAAATGAATTTTAACTCTGAGTTTCAGATGTGCTTTTTTGCTTTGTAGATATTATTCAAGCGAATAAAGCTCTATGAATTATGGCATGATAAAATATTCACAGAAACTTACAACTCCACAGTTGAATAACAATTACATTTGTTCCAAACAGGCAATTGGTTTCCAAACACATTAAACAAAGGCAATTTAGAAAGCTTCTTCTTCTTCTTGGCATCATTAACGTTGCTGAACGTCCTGGGATTCTGGAGTGTTTCACAAAGGTAAGTAAGTGTGTGGTAAGATGAACAATTTCTGAGTCCATGAAAGAGTGATCTGGGAGCCATCACTGAGCCAATGAGAATCCTGCATTCCATGACTGGACCAGTTAGCATATTAGAGAAATTTAACAGATATTCGGAGCAAGAAATTTCCATTTAGACTTCACTTTTTCTTTTCTCTTTTTTTTTAACATCTTTATTGGAGTATAATTGCTTTACAATGTTTAGTTTCTGCTGTATAGCAAAGTGAATCAGCTATACGTATATATATATCCCCATATCTCCTCCTTCTTGCGTCTCCCTCCCACCTTCCCTATCCCACCCCTCTAGGTGGTCACAAAGCCCTGAGCTGATCTCCCTGTGCTATGCAGCTGCTTCCCACTGGCTATTTTACATTCAGTGGTATATATATGTCCATGTCACTCTCTCACTTTGTCCCAGCTTACCCTTCCTCCTCCCCGTGTCCTCAAGTCCATTCTCTACGTCTGCATCTTAATTCCTGTCCTGCCCCTAGGTTCTTCAGAACCTTTTTTTTTTTTTTTTTTGGATTCCATATATATGTGTTAGCATACGGTATTTGTTTATCTCCTTCTGACTTACTTCACGCTGTATGACAGACTCTAGGTCCATCTACCTCACTACAAATAACTCAATTTCGTTTCTTTTTATGGCTGAGTAATATTCCATTGTATATATGTGCCACATCTTCTTTATCCATTCATCTGTCGATGGACACTTAGGTTGCTTCCATGTCCTGGCTATGGTAAATAGAGCTGCAATGAACATTGTGGTACATGACTCTTTTTGAATTATGGTTTTCTCAGGGTATATGCCCAGTAGTGGGATTGCTGGGTTGTATGGCAGTTCTTTTTTAGTTTTTTAAGGAACCTCCATGCTGTTCTCCATAGTGGCTGTATCAATTTACATTCCCACCAACAGCGCAAGAGGGTTCCCTTTTCTCCACACCCTCTCCAGCATTTATTGTTTGTAGATTTTTTGCTGATGGACATTCTGACAGGTGTGAGGTGATAACTCACTGTGGTTTTGCTTTGCATTTCTCTAATGATTAGTGATGTTGAGCATTCTTTCACGTGTTTGTTGGCAATCTGTATATCTTCTTCAGAGAAATGTCTCTTTAGGTCTTCTGCCCATTTTTGGATTGGGTTGTTCGTTTTTTTGATATTGAGCTGCATGAGCTGCTTGTAAATTTTGGAGATGAATCCTTTGTCAGTTGCTTCATTTGCAAATATTTTCTCCCATTCTGAGGGTTGTCTTTTTGTCTTGTTTATGTTTTCCTTTGCTGTGCAAAAGCTGTTAAGTTTCATTAGGTCCCATTTGTTTATATTTGTTTTTATTTCCATTTCTGTAGGAGGTGGGTCAAAAAGGATCTTGCTGTGATTTATGTCATACAGTGTTCTGCCTATGTTTTCCTCTAAGAATTTGATAGTGTCTGGCCTTACACTTAGGTCTTTAATCCATTTTGAGTTTATTTTTGTGTATGGTGTTAGGGAGTGTTCTAATTTCATTCTTTTCCATGTAGCTGTCCAGTTTTCCCAGCACCACTTATTGAAGAGGCTGTCTTTTCTCCATTGTATATTCTTGCCTCCTTTATCAAAAATAAGGTGACCATATGTGCATGGGTTTATCTCTGGGCTTTCTATCCTGTTCCATTGATCTATATTTCTGTTTTTGTGCCAGTATAGACTTCACTTTTTCCATTGGTCCTTATAATAAAATAGTTCTTTGCTCAATTCTAAAACAAGATTTTTTTCTCCACCCTTTTAGAGTTAGAAATAACTATATCGATAATAAGAATGAATGAGTCATTATCATTAAAAGCAAATATCATTAAACAAATAGCTAGAAATCTAATGATGCTTAAGATTTGGATTCCATTCAGGCCTTTAAATCAGCAGTGACCATTTCAAGGTCAATAACAAACTGTGCAAAATCATTTAGCCAGTCAGTCACCTGAGACCATTCAGTGGCTTAATATGTGTTATCTACCATCCATCCATTGCCAGCCTGTCTCCCTCTCACTGACATATTCTTGGATGGCTGGGTTCTTTTGAGCAAATTCTCTAACCTCTCTGAGTCTCTGTTGATAAAGGACCAAGTGCGATGTCTGCCACATAGCAGGAACTAAACAGATTTTTATTTTCCTCACTTCTTTTCATTCATTTATCTATTTAGTATCTCATCTATTGCCACTTATTTCCTGCCTGAATTATTCTTTTGTTCATCTAATAAATCTCTTTTGGAACATCAGTCATGTGACAGGCACTGTAAGAAGTTAGAAGGACATAAAGTCAGTATCAGTATATGTTTAGTGTCACCTATGTCCCTGCTCTCATGGCGCTTACGGTCCAGTATAAGAGAGGCACTTAAACCTCATGCAAGACAGAATTAATGACAAAATCAAAAGTTTTAATGGCTCCCTGAATTTTAAAATTTCTTACCTTCCAAAGTGTGTATTATTGAAGTAACCCTCCAGGATGCATAATTTCCCTAAAATGCCTGTCTCATTCTTAGATTGAAAACCAAATTAGAAAGTCAGATTCTTGCAGAAGGATTCAACAGAAATGTCCCCAGCTTTGCAGCAAAATGTGTTGGCATCAAAAACTGAAATTGAAGGCAAGACCTTTCTCCCCTCTGTCCATCACCTCCAAACACGAGTGGTGCCCATCCACTAATTCTCACAAACCTGCATTGTTTCTCAATTTCAGTTACTCTCCCACTGTAAGAGTTGACCCTGTCTTTCATGAAGTAGTTTAAAAGGCAGTCTCTAGAGGCAGCCCAGTTGAATCCAGTCCCACAACTTAGCTGCACAAACTTTAAGCTGTTTAACTTTGCTAAGCCTCAATTTCTACTTTGTAAAAAGGAAATAATAAGAATGGTAACTGTGTCAGAAAGTTGCTGTGAGGATGAGTAAATTGCCAAAGTGTTAGCAGTAATAATAATGGCTTCATATGTTGCCTTATGCCCCCTTCTTTTTATTCTTTACCTAGACTCATGCTGAGATATGGTTAAGATGACCATGATTGTGGGCTAAATTCAGGTAGAACTAGTGCTGGAACCAAATACCTACTAGCTCAGGGACTGATTCATTTATCCATTCATTTAACCAACATGTTAAGCATTGTTCCAAGCACTAGAAAAATAAAACCAAAGAAAACAAAGTACTGGTCTACAAGGAGCTGGCATCTAGTACTCAAAATATTTAAGTATGATTCTTCTGTGATTGTCGAGCAAGTGAGTTACTGTAAAGTGAGAGATGGTAGAGTTGGGGTTCAGAGAAGGAGGCGAGAATAAAAAATACAAAGAACCAGAGATTGGAGGAACCAAAGATGAAAGGAACTAAGGGATAATGTAGGGCTTATTCAGAAAGAAATTGGAGTCTTTACCAAATCTTCTCCATCTCCTGTATACTTTCTTTTCTCCTGCATACTTTTTGAGGGAAGGTAAAAAAGAGAGGGTGAAACAAAGCAGGAAGGAAAGAAATTAATTTTCCATGCGTTGAGCATTTCTGTCTTAAGTAGCAGGTTTGTCCCCCTCCCTGTTATGGAGATCATACCATTCCACTTTATAAGTAAGAAAACCAAAGTGAAAATCTAACTAAGTTCACACAAGTAGGACGCAAACCCTACTTTGTCTCCAAAACCCATACACTTTCTCCTAGACTCTGCTGCCTCTAAGTGCCATAGAAGAGCCCTTTTCCCGCTCCCTGACGGCCCCTTAACTCTCGTGGGGGAGGAAACCAGTCCCTTCAGTTCAACTAACTATACCCACCACCACCTGTTGATCCGCCCCCACAAGAAAAGAATGTGTGTCATGTTTCAGAAGAAAGGAGAATCTGAAAAATTTGCCTGCAGAGATTAAGTAGCTAGAACCAACTACATTAGTTCAAAGGCACACATTGCCTTGGGTATCTATTTCCCACTGGGATCCAAGGGGCCAAACCAAAAGAGTTAACCAAAAAACTATCTGGAATCCAAGGCATCGGATCACTGTCTGCAGTGAGAAGTGCATGATTCCAGCTTATTTCTATACTGATTGTTTCTGTCAAACCCTAACGAACAATAAGGATGCAAAGAAACAGGGGAAAACACAGACGTCCCAGGGACAGCATTATTGAAACATATTATTTATAAGTCAGATGGTGTTTGATCTTAATATACTTCCAATCACAATCCAATTTTTACCAAACCCAAAGGTGTATTTGTTCAGAGCCAGATACTGGTGACAAATCTATCAAGAATAGGACAGTCCCAAGTTATTCTTGTCCCCAAGATCTTGAGACCAGTGGATTAATGATGAAACAGCAGCCTCGCTAATATACAGGTGGAATTAGGTTTGTGTTAGCACCTGAGGGCACCCTACCATCAAGTTTATATTAGTGTGCAACAATCCTGGTGTAAGTCCTAGAACCAAACTAATCTTGTAGGGGTCAGTAGGAGATCACTTAACTGAGTATAATTAGGACTATTCCATGAATGTCAGTCCAGATGTACCTTCCATTACTACAAAAAAAAAAAAAAAAAAGGCAAACAATCCCCTTCCTCTGCCTCTGTCTGTATTAGAGTCCCCCTCAATCAAATCTGAAATAGGGCAATGGTGACATGACACACCTGAGGCTCTCCAGGTTGGGGGTGGAGGAAGTAGGTGGATGAAATGTCTTTCCTTGCTGAAAAGTATTATACAAACACCTCTACAGTCCTTACTATAACTATGTATCTTACATCAAATGCTAAAATAAAGGATATTACAGACATTTATGGGGGGAGAGAGCAGAAGCGTATTTGTTATTACAACTTGACACCACTGTCCCTCCAATGTTGTAAAACACATCTTATGAAGTTGATATCATTGTGCTTATTTTGTTAATGATACCAGTAATCTTTTGTGCATAACCTGCAATGATTATTGAAAGAGACATAAATCAGAGAAAAATGACCAGTTATTCAAGCATATCCTTTTCTTACAGTTATCGCTAGCAATATATTAAGAAGGAAAAGAAGGTAAAACTCTCTAGCATTGGAAACTTTCACAAATCAAAAAAAGAAGAAATGTCTGACCTCAAAGACTTAGGTGCATTTGATAAAATTGAACTTATGGCCCTTGACCATTTGTTCATTCAACCAATATTTATTGTACATCTGCTATGTACCAGGCACTGATCAAGGTACTAGGAATACAGCAGTGACTAAAGCAGTCTGAAATTCCTCTCCTCCTGGAACTTCTTCAAAAATGTTTAAGAAGTAAGTTGCCTTTAGAGGCAGTGTGCCATAGAGGGAAAAGGCCAGGACTCTGAATAAGAGACTTCTGGTTTCAAACCCAGGCTCTGTCAACTATTACTCATACAAACCCTAAGCAACTTATTTAACCTCCTAGAAGTTCAGTATTTCTGTCTGTGAAATGGGGATGGCTCCACCCTTCCAGGGTTATAGTGAGAATTCGGTACGTTAGGGTGAGCACTGGACCCTAGCACGCTGCCTGGCACTTAGAAGATTTTTCTTGAGTCAAGGATAGAGGGCACACATTTTAGAAATATGTTCATGGATTTTTTTCTTTGACAGTGGTGTTTTCCACACAGTCTCAGCACCGAATTTACAAACCCTCAGTGCATCTGATAAATCTTTCGAGTCCTGCCGCCATGAAATCTACAAGGTTGATAATTCCAGACTTTCCAGTTCTCTCACTGTCAGACTCACTGCAGGTTGTAAAAGAGCGCCATCTAAAGGTCCTCGTGAGGCACCTTAATATGTCCTAAAACTCCTTTTGTCGTTTTATAAAGACTGTTCTGGTGAGCGGTGCTCTTAAATAACCATCGCTGTTGTGCCAGTATCTATGGGCCTATAATAAAAGTAAGACAAGCACAGGGGGAAGGCAAATGATTTATCAGGTCCTCTACATCTGGTCCTAAAAAAAGCTTTCTTTCTTTCTCTTTTAGATATTGTAATCTAAATCATTTTAATGCCCAGAACATCAGCGGAAGTCATCTTGAAGAAACACTTCCCCTCCATGAAGAGTCTCTGAAATTTTATGGCAGTACACAGGAATTTTCTTCGAGTATTGATCTTTGGGAAACAGCCCTGTGAAACTCTGTTGTTTGACTCAACCTGTCTTATGAACAGAGTATTCACTGTTTTCTTCGGCTAGACACTATGCGTTTTCGTTTTAGAGCTAATATGTGTGAGGGTGGCCTTATGAATATTATGTGTACTTTACAAAGACTAATTATGACTCCTCTAGTCATAATTATGACTATTACGCTTTTGCATTAACATGTTATGCCTTTGAATTAATGAAGTAATTTCAAAGTCTAAGTAATTACTCTATGACAACAAAAAGTTAGTATTTCCTATGCATCACAATATTTTAAAACTTTTTACAATGGTTTGGCCATTATAAGCAACCTATATGACATTTTTTAGTTTTCATGTGTCCTTAGAATCAAAATAACAGTATGTTAACATTCTTTCTTTCAATGCATTGAGTACTTACTGCATGCCAGGCATAGTGATCATATACTGTCTATGTCAGAGTAAATAATAAACCTATACACAATTTCACTATACTTCATCTTGCTATTACACTATCAAGTTATGAATTAAGGAAATATTCTCTGAATCAAAGAGCAACATTACTAAAATAGAGGTCCTTAACAAAAAGAGAATATTCACATACTGAAGAAACTGTAAAGTAAATGGAAATGATGGAATTATTGCGATTGAAGGAAAGAAGAAAATTAAGGAAGGTTAAATGAGTGTTGGGGGAAGGGCAAGTGATCAAATCAATCAGGGATGCTTAAAGAGATTCCCTAGTCCAAAGGATGTCTTTTAGTCTCCACTGCTACCAGTTCAGACGCACTCAGAAAATTATCTTCTAAAAGAGATTTTTCCCGTATAAGCAAAGAAATGTGAAAAAAACTCATTTAAACCAAAAAACAGGCAAATACAACTAGTGTCCCAAATCTTTGTAGCAGTGCTTGTCAAAGTTTTGTTAAGGACCCCCTGCTTCAGGCACCTCTTTCTGGCCCCTACCATAGACCGCTTTAACCCAAACCTTTTTCCAAGACTTCCCAAGTCTTCTTACGCTCCCTGAAATCTGAGCACCACTGCCTTAAGGGACAGTTCAAGCTGGATAGGAGAGGGGTGTTTATCAGTTGATTGCAAATGATTCTGCAGTTAAGCACCTCCCTTGTGACCTAAAATATTTTAGATCTGTAGAATAAAAGATTTACACATCTTGATTAGGTGTGATATGCATTTTTAATTGCAAAAGAACAGCTGTAAAGCACCAGGTGTTTCTCTTACTCAAACTATTTTTTGTTTGTTTGTTCTGAGGACAAATGAAAAGACAAACTCTTACAGACAAAAATTCTTGCCCTGTAACTTTTTCAAATCCTTCTTTTTTCAGCATTTGTTCTCTGACGAAACACTGAGGCCAGTCCTTGATCTTCCTTAGAATCTTTCTTTGCTGCAAAACGTTAAATGCCAAGTTTGCGATTTGGGTTTAATGAACACCCCAAAGATCAAGAAACCTTTAAACATCTCGTCTCAGTACAAGTCAGAAGCTCTAACGGTCCCTCTCACCAATAGAAAAAGGGTTTGCCTTATTTTGTTGTTCCCCCTCCCCACCGCCCCAAATTTGCCTTCCTCTCCTTAATTTCTACATCATAATAGAAAAAGGTGCTCATTATGCTTTCACTCATCCTTAGAGATGAAAAGAGAGCTACAGAATTATAAAGATGACCCTAAGCGAACACCAAAAGAGCTTAGAACTCTCACATCGGGGCTGACACTCATGATTAGCTAAATTGCAGGAACTACACACGCTTCCATTGGAAACAGGATGCATTCATGCACTAGTTTCTTGTCTAGTGCTTAGCAACATTATCACCAAGCACCTGGAATAGTTTAGGCATTAAGTGTAATTGGTTTTGCTTTACATAAATCTGTAGCTTTGTAAATAAGCGGAGCATTTCAGCTTCTCTGTAACACCAATTAACTTAAAGGGATGCGTTGTCTGTAGGAGACTGCTGGGTTCTGTACTGTATTTCTCCCGTAATGTGCTCATTGGCTGGCAAAGCTCTGTGTCCCTGCAGTGTTGCATTGACTCCCAGTCACTTGGTGTCAAGGGTCTGTACCCAGTCACTCATTTGCTCCATTTTTCAGTTGTAAAAGATTGGGAAAATGGAGTCTTCCCTAAGAAGCATCTTCGGTGCTCTATTTCTGTTCACGAGGGAGACCTGAAAGGCAAGGTACTTGAAAATGTTTTCTGTGACCTGCAGAGCACAGATCTGACCCCAGCTGATTCTATCCATAACTGACGTCTACATCTCTTTCCTTTCTTTTTTTCTTGTAACGCTTCAATCCAATGCAGCCAAAAGTCACTGCATTGAGCCTGTATACAAAATTAAGAAAACCATATTCTTATTATGTAAATTTGCTAGTGAAAATGTTTCCATCAGAGGGACTTTTTTTTAATAACACTCAGAAATCTGCTCCTGGGAGTTGGTAAATTTTTTCAAGCTTCTGGGATATTACCCCTCATCTCTTTACTCGGTTTAATCCCTTCTCTCTCATATCCCCTTCAGGTAATCTTGATATATAGCATTCATTCCATAGCATTCATTCCACTCTGGCCAACCTCTAATTCTCTTGGTTTCTGAAAGTGTTTTGTCGACTATCAGAGTAACAGTATCACCAAAATACAGCTCATGATTCCAAAAAGTTTCCTACTAATATTATGTGATTTACAAATTGAAGGAGGGAGAATCACCCCTTCTGAAAACTGTCAGGATCCCTTGTTGGATGAGAAAAGAGCTTCAGCATTAGGACCGTGAACCAGTCCGGCGGTGGGCATAGCCCATCGCCACTGCTAGAGAAGCTGATATACAATTACCGGTCACAGGCTTATGGGTAAGGTTCTTAAATGAAATCAACAGCCAAGTGATGACAGCACACAGGTGCTGCTAACATTCAGGTCTGCTTGTAGAGAACAGGGAAATGAAAGGACCCACTCATAATAACAACCCAATACAGTTTACAAGTTGCTGTCACATGTATCGTCACATTTGGTTGGCACCACTCCTGGGAAGTAGGCACATTTTGGCATGCCCATTTTGTACACGAGACATTGCAGCTCTGAGACATTATCAAGAGTCACAGAGATACTGGATGCCACAGGACTAGAACCTTGGTCCCTCTGTCTCTAAAGAGCCAGCCCCTTCTACAAATGACACTCATAATGTCACCAACACTGGATCATCCCCAGCCACTCAGGTGAAACACTCTCTAAATAATCCAAAAGGGAACAAGAATGAAAAGAAAGACCACATTGGGGTCAGAGACTCTGACAAAATGGTTACCCAAAACAGCATGTTTCTAATGGTTACCCAAAACAGCATGTTTCTAACATCTCTTTCCCTGCCCTCAGCTTCCTCTGTGGAGCCAGGCACTACCCTCATGTGGACTTTAGGCTGCTAGAAGCACCGCACTGAAAAGACCTGCCCAGACTGACCACACTGGGGTTGGGAAAGAGGGTCTTGGGCTCAAAAGCATCCTTTCCTTCCCCTTTCAACAAAATGCCCTCAGATGTGCTATAGTCAATTCCAAACTGCTTAGGAAAGAACGGGTTAAGAAAAACAAATTCACCCCCCAAAATGTGATTAAGATTTGTGAAGACTCCTGTAGTACTTGCTGAGTACAAGACACTGTTCTAAGTGTTTTTATTTAATATTAACTCATTAATCATCACAGTTACTCTATAAGTACAATTGTAGACCCCATTTTACAGATACGAAACATGAAGCACAAAGGAGTTAATAACTTTCCAGGGACTTCCCTGGTGGTCCAGTGGTTGAGACTCTGTGCTTCCAGTGCCGGGGGCACGGGTTTGATCCCTGGTCGGGGAACTAAGATCCCACATGCCGTGTGGTGTGGACAAAAAATAAAAATAAATAATTTTCCAAAGGTTATACATGCAGCATGGACAGAGTAAAAATGTGGACCTAGGGATCCTGATTACAGATTCCAGGGGCTAGCCCTCTCTATATAGCTGCCTCTCAGTAAAGCTGTTGTCGACAATAGATTTTTATGTATTCTCAGGGCAATTCCATGGAAGACAATGCCTTAGCCCAAGGGATTTCAGTCTCTTTCTGTCCCAACACAAAAGAACGTGACTTCTTCCATCAGTCCTTGCTGGATGGAAACAACAGGTACTTTTAACACCCCTAGGTAGTGCCCCCTCCCTCCCTTTTTGTGAATAATTATTGTTCTCCTGCTTACACCCAAAGGCATGACTCTAAGGGCAGAATTTCAGACTCTATGGTAGTGAGTGGGTACTTCTATCTCAAAACTGTTGTAGGGGGGATTCCCTGGTGGCGCGGTGGTTGAGAGTCCGCCTGCCGATGCAGGGGACGCGGGTTCGTGCCCCGGTCCAGGAAGATCCCACATGCCATGGAGCGGCTGAGCCCGTAAGCCATGGCCACTGAGCCTGCGCCTCTGCAACAGGAGAGGCCGCAACAGTGAGAGGCCCGCGTACCGCAAAACAAAAAAAGAAACTGTCGTAGGGATCCTTGTAGGGTGTTCCTTAAATCACAAGGTAAGCTGTCTGTTCCTCAAATGACAGTCATCATTAGAGATCAAGATGGAGCCTTAGGTCAACTAGTCTCTCCACTTCCTTAGCCTCTCCACAGACATTCCTGGAATTCCTCCAGCCCTGTTCTCCAGTGAGCTTAGTGGAAGCGTCAAAGATAATCGAGGACTGTGATGACAAGACCCAGCCTCTCCGTCTCTCTCTGCCTATCTCTGTCTCTCTGTCTCATTCTCTCTGTCTCTCAGTGCTCTCTCTCTCTCTGGCTCTGTGTCCCACTGAGGTTGTCTACAGTAGAATGGATGCTATTTGACAGCCAAGATCTTTTCCCCAAGTGATACATTGTCACTAGTCTACTCAGAGACTTTCCTAATTATTAAATAATAATAGCACCCAAACCTTAATCTATCACCCATCTTAGACAGGTTTGAATCCATTTACTGGCTGGGAATCAGGTTGTTGCTTCAGTTTGCTAAACCACAAGTGACCAAGTCTCATATAAATACAGTAATGAGTCAAGAGCCTATGACAAGTGTCTATTACCATGGTGGCAGCAAGTTAGGAGCACATTTAATGACATTTACGCAAAGAGCAAGGTAACACTGCTACCAGGGATAAAAGAAGGAGAAAAATGGAATCAATGGGAGGCGGAAATTTGGCAAAAATCAGGGGGAAGTCACCATAACATTGAAGAAACTACCAAGAAAGCACACATGTCGTCATCATGTCAGTTTTCATTTTCCCAAAGCAATCTCTGGAAGCAAAACGAGAAGGCAAGTCGAGAGAATATGCTAAATTTTAAAATAAGAGAAAGAGCTCTCTGTCAGAAATGCCAGAGAGGAAGTGTGAGCTTCAGAAGCCAGAGCAGTGAGAGGCCATCTGGAGACACTGATTTCCCATTTTCGTGTGATACACTGCACAGCGCAGGTGCCTGGATTCCCATGAATTGATTAGGACCCCCTAGAGCA